CTTAATCTCTTTTTTCTCCTTTGAGTTAGAATTACAGTTAACTAAAATTTACCATACTTTCCCGCCTCCTTTATTTTCTGGTTTTTGAAGCGTATGTAATCCGTATTGTAAGTAGTGCAAGTAGCTGTTTTTTTTTTAGTGTAAGTATCTCAGTTTAAGTAAGTATTGCAAGTTTTTGTATTGCAAGTAGAGTATAGTATTGTTAGTAGCGTATCTCACATTGTAAATAAGTATTGTTTTGTAAGGAGAGTATAGTTCTGTTAGTAGCGTAAGTAACATACATTGTTTGTAAGTAAGTATTGTAAGTAAGTACTTTGTAATTGCGAGTGTTTTAATTAAATTAAAAAACAAACAAACAAAACAAAACAAAACAAAAAAAAGTAAACAAACATGAAAAGAAATCCTTCAATCCTTGAAATTTGAAGACACTGTTGTGATAGAGGCAAATCCAGATAAAAAAAAAAAAATCTATTAAAAGTGTTAAGTGAGACCATCATCAGATAGATAGATAGGTACTTTATTAAATACATTGCAGCATAAGCTGAATTGCGTATTTACATAATGATAATAATTTATATTAACAATTGTAAAAATAGGCAATAATTGTAATAGCTAAAACTAAAAACGTATAATAAGAAACCTAAAAATTATTTACAATTCTGCCTGAGGCCATAAAAAAACTGTTCTTAAATCTATTTGTCTTGCAACGAGGCAAAGTGAAAGTGCGCGCGTTCCTTAGATTATAGTTGCCCTTATATGAAGGCGGCAACAAATTTCTTAACTTGTGGTTCGGGTCGCTCATTATGCTTTCAAACGTGCGCGTGCAAATGTTGTGGTGATGCTCCGCAACCGTTGGTAGACTCATAAGCGCTAAAGCTTGCTGATATTCCATACCAGGACATATGATTCGCATTGCTCTTTTCTGAACGCGTTCTAATTCTAGCGAAAGGTAGGCTGGTAGCGCGTGATGGAAAACTGGCGCAGCATAGTCAATAACGGAGCGCACGCATGTGATGTAAAAAAGGCATAAATCTTTCTGTGGAACACGAGCTCTTTTTAGCTGAACAAGAAAATAGAGCCTCTTAGCTGCCTTCTTGGTAACTTCCGTGATGTGCGCGTTCCATGTTAAGTCACCAGAGATAGTAACACCCAAAAGTTTAGCATCTTTAACTAATTTGATGCACTCCTCTCCTATGACTACTGGAGGAAAGTCACAATCTGATGTAAAACTGATGCGGAGCTCCTTGCATTTGTCTGTGTTTAACTTGACTCTGTTTCTGATTGACCAATTTACTACTTCATTTACAATACCTTGAGCCTCGCTATGCTGTCCTTTCTTTATTACCTCTGATGTTGTGGTGTCGTCTACATATTTCCAAATAGAAGCATTACTGACGGTTAGATCATTTATCATAATCAAAAAAAGCCAAGGGTCTAGTTTGGTCCCTTGCGGAACGCCCGAAGGTACTGTGCCCCACTCGGATACACAGCCTTCAGAGAGTTTGATTCTCTGTGAGCGGGCTGATAGGAAATCTATTATCCAATTAATGACGCTAGGTGCGATGTCAAGCGCGCATAATTTCCTTACTAAGATACTATAGTAGGGGAAGATAAGTTGAATGAGGTTCTTTTACTATATGCAGAAGAATTAAAGGAGAAGAAAATTGAGATGCCGCTTGCAATTGTATACGGTACCCTTGCAACATGTGCTGATGCCTTCCTATTTTTTAGCCAGGTTCTGACCCTTTATCTAAAAACCGCTTATTTGGTCAGTTTCATGCCGAATAGCCAGAACATGAGAAAGAGCGCATTCTCAATGAAATAATGCAAGGAGTATGTAAAACCAAAATTGTATTTGTGACAGTAGCATTCGGTATAGGTGTAGATATTCCTAGCATAAGGAGGGTGTTTCACAGCGGTGTTCCAAAGACAATGGAAGAGTACTTCCAGGAAACTTGTAGAGCTGGACGAGATGGGAAAGAACCTACGGCAACTTTGTTTTACAATGGTAGAGATGTAGGAAAGGGGGGGGGGGAATCCAGTGGATGATATCATGAGAAAATTTACAACAGCACAGAGTTGTAAACGAGAAATTATTTTGATTGCTTTGCAGATAAGGCACCAGAAAGAACTGTGTTACATTCATGTTGTGACTATCACAAGGTGCATTGTAACTGCCTTACATGTGTAGAGAACACCTTAATAGCAGATGAAATGGAAGATGTTTCTCTCGAGGCACAATCTGATGTGCAGTCCACATCATTATCTCGGCATGTAACTTTGCAGCGAAATAATGCTATTCGGGCTGACCTAGAGGACTACAGCATTTCTCTGCATTTTGGAAAATCATCTGTTGGTGGGGTGACTATCAACAGGCTTTAGTACAGAATAAACCTACCGCGTGTATCCATAACTCGATCGCTGCACGCTGGACGTTTATTATTTCTTCATCTTCAGTTAAGTGATCGTCTTAATTTAGGACGATTTGCTATTTAGTCTTAGAGTGATTTTACTTGAACGGTGAAGCCACGTTGGATTATGACTTATAACTAAATCCTAATAACAAAAATACACCAATGTTTTCAAGAGGAATTTTCAGTTTCAAATGAATGAACGAGATCCATGGTTGTATGGCCCCTTAGCTTTCATAATTTCTTTTCCCTTGCTTAAAAGTGAAGAAGTCTCTAATACTCTTTGCGGTCAAAAGAACAGCAGGTAACTAATACTTTGCAGACATAAGAATTGCAGGTAACTAACAATTGTCAAGGTGATATGGCAGTAAAGGGGTGAGTTCTTTCCTCAGGGTTATCTTTCCTTTTTATTATCTCCAGTTTCAGTCTAAACAGTCTCCATTGAGCTTTATGTTTATTGTCTGGCCCTGCTTTCGGGAAGGTTCAGGTTTGCCTCAAAGATAAATGGGGGTTTTTGCTGACGGACAGCAGACACACAGTCTTAACTTTTAATTTCTACTCATCTGTATAAAGTAGATGGCAATTTAATAAACATGAGGTTGGGATGAAGTGCTCCCATACAGGTCCTTCTTTGCCCTACAGAGTTTTCTTACTTCTTAAACTGGGGCATTAGACTTCAAAAGAGGTCTTTTTACTTCTCCAGTACCTAAGGGGGATTATAACCTTTAATCACCAAAGGGTATTATCACCCCCTGGAGAGGATTATCACTCTCACCATCCTAGAGGATTATCATCTCCTAGACAGGATTATCATCACTCACTGGCCTTGAGGATTATCACCCCCTACAGAAGGTTAACCTCTCTCGTCCACCTTGGGGATTATTACTTCCTAGAGAGGATTATTACCTGTCACTATCCCGGGGATTATAACCTCTCCCCTCGTAGATTTTGGATTATTGAACCAATATGAAGAGAAAAGTGAACTGCTGTCCATATTTGGATTACTTCATTCCTTGTCCCTTTTGCCTACGATCATTCTAATTTGCTTTTAACGAAATGGTGATGGGTTGGTAGCATTAACAGCGATTTTCCGTACAGAATCGAGCGGATACACCACCATCAACAGATAAAATTCTGTATCAGTCCCTTTACTAGCAAGTAATTTCTGACTTCATTAAAATCTGTGGATATTTTTTTCGTCAAGACTAACTTCACTTACGTGATCAACAAACACTCAATTTTGCCGATGAAACTGAAAAGTGAATCCACCTTCAGAAATACATTCACATATATAAGATATATATATATATAGTATATACACACTGAGTGATCTTGGTGATTTAAGCAATCTTATTGGTTCGCTGTCACAGACTATTTAACAATATTCACCTCCTAGCGAATGGATAAAGTGTGACCTCGGTATTTTTCCCCATTTTTTTAGAGAACGATGTTTTGAAAGTCGACAAAATCCCAGGGTTGACTTTTTTTAAGGCAAGAAAAGACTTGGAAGGATTCAAAGCGGCGTTTTTCCATTCACTGTAGCTGAGTTTTGTGCTCGATGGATTGTTTCCAACTCCCGTTTATTCCAGTAGAAGAAGCCGTTTCATGAACTCAGCGTTTCCTAACAAGAAAATTTGGCCCAAAAATCGAGGTTTATTTATGACAATCAAATTTGAAAGCAAATGTTTGCAAAAATTCTACGTTTCAAGTAAATAGGAAAAAGAATGGTAAAGGAAGACGACGTCTTACCTCGAGCAACCGAGCCGCCATTTTTGGCTATAAACTTGGCGGGTTAACAGAAAACAACGAAGCTCTACTTTTCTTCTCAGGTAAGGAAACAATTCAAACTTTTAACGGTTCCATTTAAGCCATTACGCTGTTGTTTGCGAAGTGATAAACTTGTGAAATGCCATGTTTGATAATTCTGTAACGATCTATTTTTAAACTTTCGTGTGATTTGATCAATCAATCAAATCGTACTTTTTAATGTTTTCCTCTTTGATTTTGTTGAGATCACTTCGAGTGTATATACTAAAACAATTATTCTTTTCAATCTCGGTGAATAGTGGCTTTAGGAATATTTACCTCGATTTCAAAGAATAATTGTTAAGTATATGAAGTTTATTATATATGTACTGAGATTTACTGCAAAATGAATATGTCAAATAAAAATGATGCGTTGCAGAGTACACGCAATCTGATTGGTTGTACGATTTTTCTCACTAGTGAAAAATACCGTATGACCAATCACAACCCGCAGACGAAAGTTTTCACTAGTGACAAAAATCGTATCGATTTTCCCGCCTTTCACTGACGGCGTCACTAGGCAAAAGGAAAACCATGGCGTCTTCTTCGAGCAATTCAAGGTTTGCAGATATAACTTCAGTAGAGGAATTTATTGAAGGACAAGAAAACGAAAACACCAGGAAGAAAACTGAACAGAATGTTGCTTTGCTTAAGGAGTTTTTGAGGCTAAAAGATGAGTCAAGGCCTGTAGAAGAAATTTCCCCACACGAACTGAGTTCATTCATCAGCGAATTTATCATAACAGTAAGAAAGAAAGAAAACAACGAAGATTACGAACCCACTTCCTTGCGTGCTATGATGGCCAGTTTTGAACGGTATTTAAAGAAGAAGAATTACGGCTACAGCATTATGAGAGACGTCGAGTTTGAAAAAAGCACGAACGGCATTAAAATCAAAACAAAGAGATCTCAAGAAGAAAGGCAAAGGCGATAAACCAAACGCTTCAGTTCCCCTCACAGAAGACGACATAAAACTGCTGTATGACAAAGGATTGTTAGGAAAGTCAACTCCTGAGGCTCTACTGAATACAGTTTGGTTCAACAACACAGTCTATTTCGGTCTCCGTGGTTGTAAGGAACACAGAGACATGTGTTGGGGCGATGTGCAACTACGCCAAACTACAAATGGCGAGGAATTTTTAGAGTATACTGAGAGACAAACTAAGACTCGAACCGGAGAAAATCCCAGAGATGTCAGGCAAATAAAACCGAAAATGTTTTCGGTTCAGGGAAGTGAAAGAGATCCCGTCACTGTTTACAAATTCTACGCGGAGAAAAGACCGTCGGAAATGAACGACAACAACGCGCCATTTTATCTAGCAGTAAATAACTGTAAAAACAAGATTCTTCTAAACCATGGTTTAAAAAGTCAGCCGTTGGCGTGAACAAGCTGAATTCGTTAATGAAAAAAATGGCAGAAAAAGCCGGGCTGGGGCCCAATGTAAAGAACCATAGCGGTCGCAAAACAATGATCCAAACTTTAACAAACAACGACATCCCAGCGACAGATATTATTCAACTGTCGGGACATAAAAATCTTCAAAGTGTGACCAATTATTCTGTAGTTTCTGAAAAACAGCATGTAAAAATGTCTCGTACTTTAAGTGAACTGATGTCCGGGAATGTGCATAGCTTAGAGAAAACTAATTCATCTCAAGTTGGAGAATGCTCCACTGATCCTTCAGCTAGCTCGGCGGGTCGCTCGGCGGCAGATCATCACCAACAAGCGATGTCGCTTTTCACGGGCGCTGTTATTCATGGAGGTCAATTCAGCATTTCTATTAACAGCCTCAATCAATCCCCGAAGTTGGCAATCCAAGAAGTTGAGGTAAAGTCTTCTCCAAAGAGGTACAAAAGGCTAAAAGTACTGGACTCTGACTCTGATTAGAATGCATGCATTACTATAATTAGATTTACAAAACAGTCAACTTTTTCAAATTTTATATCTTAGTTACGGTTTTGAACGGCGATATTTAAAGCTGAAAATTTTCATTGTTATTTAAAGTTAAAGAATCGTTTAAAAGTAGACTTTGTTCCACTTTCTTCAGAGTCATTGAATAACTTTAATGTTGTAGGAAGTTTTGTACGTTCAGTTTGCTCGAATAAAATCATTCGCAACTCGTTGTGGTCTTTGTGTTGATTTCACCGCGCAATTGATAGTTGTTAACATTATTTTGTAATATCTCAGTACATATATAATAAACAAATTACCTCATGGTTGGTTCGCTTGTACGATTTTTATTCACGAGTTGTGAAGAATCGCAAACTCACTCGTTCGCTGCGCTCACTCGTTCGTTTTCGATTCTTCACAACTCGTGAATAAAAATCGTACGCACTCACCAACCATGAAGTAATCTCTATTTATGGTTCGACTGTATATATATTTTATATCTAGCTGAATTTTTGAAAACGTGCCTCAAAAAGGGCTAGAATATGGTGACTGGTGACTGCGGTGAGAATTTTCATAGAGGGCTTGCTGTCCTGGTTGGTCTCATCGTCAGGCTCAGTCCTTGAGCTACTCTGCCATGGGCTAGGGAGGGGCCTCCATGTCAATCACTAAGGGGAAAGGGTGCTGCAAAAGCGTGGTATGGTCCGTTAGTCTCTCTGGAGAATCAGTTAACAGATCATGTGTCTGCTTTAAGTTTGTCATTCCAAACTTCTTTTAATGTTTCAGGCCGATTGGCCAATGAAAGGGTTCCCCTCACCCACGCGCTCGGCTGGGAGGCCGTATCAGGTCAGTATGTGGGGGAAGGGGGTGATGTGGCCTTGAATTCTCCGCTTAGAGCTTGTTTAAGTCTCAAGCTGCCTCCACGTTATGTATAGCCTTAAAGCAGCTAGAGCGTATGACCAGGTTGAGAAAATCTTTTTGATGGACTTGAAACTGTAAAAGTAGAAACGAGTAAGCAAAGAATTTAGTTTTAGACATTTTTGGCTGGTTTTACCTTTTAAATGAAACTGGGCGTATCAATATAGTCATTTTTTGATTTCAAAAGATGAAAATGTAATTTGCGGAGTATTTTTTGTGAATTTATTCTTTGGAAGATGTCGGATCTTGTAGGGTATCTACAATTCTAGATCAGTACTTTTAAGCTTTCTGTTAATATAGTCAAAAATCCACACAACAGTCCAATAAACACGCGCGCAGGTCAATGACCACACCAGTAGTTCAATGTCCACACATTTTTTTTTTGAGTACACTACATGCAGTTGGGGTGAAAATAGCCACAAATACGCCAGCTTTTTTCATATTAAAGTGGAGCTTTAACTAAGTGGTAAATACTCATTTAGCGATAACACAAAGGCTAAATTAAGAATTAGCTATAGTACACTGTTATTTAGTTCTATGATGAGCTCACTAATGTAAACAAGAACATTGACTGATGGCAATTTAAACATTAAACAGTCTGCTTAGAGGGTCTCTCATTATTTTATAGGGCACAGTGTTGAGGACTCAAATGTAATAAATGTCCCTTAATGTAATAAAGGTCCTACGTGCAACACCAGTTGGTCCAAAATTCACTAACTGAAACATGTAACGGTCTGATGCGATAACGTCATTAGCCAGGGGATTCAGTTTCTGTGCCACATTCTGACAACAAAGTCATAAATGATCATGATGATACTGGTCAAATTTCTCTGAAACCAGGACAGAGCTCTTGCAGCGAGTAGCTGCAAGTACGACATCTTTGGCCGTTACATGAGAAAGGCTAGCCCCAACAACACGTGGCTGGTTTCCTTAGAGGGCGTGTTGACACATAAAAAACCGTATATTAAATTACTAAACTAATACTACAATTTTTTGTACTATTACTGTTGCTACTACAGAACGTCATATAAAAAGTTAATTACTACTAAGATACATAGCTTGCAAAACCTAACTATATTCTAGTAAAGTTTTTAAATGAAGGGGTTGACTCGGCGAGCTTAACTTCATTCGTAAGCTGTTTTGAAGCATAGCACCGATAAATTTAAAACGTCTTTTTAGAAAGTCTCTTTTCGGTTTAGGCGGCGTTAAATCAGTAGCCGTGGTGCGTAAATAGTTACTAGTCTGATCGACATTCCTTGCGTATCATCCGCGTACATACATGAAGTGGTTAATTTTAGACTGTCCGGCAAATCGTTAATGTATAATGGAAACAAAAGTGGCCTTAGGATTGATCCATGGGGGTCCTCCACAAGTGATCATTTTTTTAGATGACAGCTGACCGTTGATAATGCATTGCTGTTCCCTGTTCGTTAGGTATGATCTAAACCAGTTCGGCTCCATACCAATGATACCAAAATTTTTAATCATCTTGGTTATCAGGATGTCATGATTAACGGAATCGAACGCTTTCTTGATATCCGGGAATATGATACCTTTAAGTGTACCATTATCCATATTTTCTAGCCATTCATCATACATTTGGATAAGGGCCGTTACTGTCGAGTGATTTGGGCGGAATCCAGAGTTTTTTTCGAGAACAATATTAGGTGCGAAGAAAAAGTTCTGTTCAAGTTGACTGTTATCACTAAAGAAAAAGAAAACATTTCATTTTAGTGGGTTCCCTAGACTCACTGTTGCCCTTTTGCCTGTAATGACGCAAAACGGCTAAAAACTATGAAATCATCTCAAAAGTTATTATACCTAGGACCTTTCTTTCAATTTTTTGAAAAGTAGGCGTCGAAAGTGAAGCGCCAGACTAATTCATGTCATCACATCAGACTATTTTTAATGTTTCAGCCATGAACGTTATTACATTAGGGCCAAAACGGTTATTACACTTGGGACCTTTATAACATTTAGGGATAAAATGTATTACACTTAGGACCTTTATTACATTTAGGGACATTTATTATTACATTTGAGGTCTCAACAACAGTGAGAGACGGTAGAAAGAATTTCAGGGGTGAAAAGGAAAGTTAACTCGAAGCCTCATGACGTTGAGCCTCCGTTTTGCGTAATTAAAGCGCACAGTAGTCTAACTACACATACGTTAAAAGAAGGATTTCATTTTAAATCTCGAAAAATTAGATTACAACTAACAGAACCAATAAACATAACTATCTAATTGGGTCTGGGATTTTTTAAGTCGTAATTGGACAAAATTAAAAAAAATACGTCAATAGCAACAAAACAGCTTTACATGCCGTAATAATTAGCTTCAGCTGTAGTTCGAAGCTAGTCAAGACAACTAAATATAGACCAAGCAAGAATGGAAAAAATATTAAGACAGAGAAATAACAAATAAATACAAATCTAGACTCACTCTAGTTTGTATCAATAATTTTTATACTAAAGTTAAAGAGACTTAGGATGCCTTTTTTGGGTATGCTGGTTACATCTAGAGTGAGGTCTCAAAAACAATATAGATTTACTTACTTGAGGTAACGGAAATACGAGTTAAGTTCAAATCTCTCTCAATGTCAAGAGATGGCAATTCTAGTTTCTCCAGCATGAACGTTGCATTATATCTGGCTGGTCCTTATCTTTCTGAAGTCAAAGATACCATGTAGAAAGAGCATATTCTAGTTTAGGTCTTACTAGGCTACATAAATGTTTAGATTTACATTGCAATGAGGTACAACTTTCCATCTATATCTAATGCAGCTGTGGTGGAAATTTGCCGAAACTTTGTTAATGGCAATGTAGTTTATGCTCAAACTTGGGAGGTATTGACCCTGAAAAACCCCATCAAACTACCTCAATTCTTGCGCGAAATATCAGCATTAATTTATAATTTTACATAGGACATTCCTACTTGTCAGTGCCAAGAAGGCGACGAAGTTTAACATGTTATGAATGAAGATGTCAGGGCAGTAAAAGACACTGAACTTGAACACACGAAAGAGCACATCAAGGGGGAATCAATCAGGTATTTTTTCGAGAATTTTTGAAAATTACATGCCAAAATGTAAGCTCTAAACTTTTCAACGCCTGGAGTTCTCGATCAAAACAATGTTAAAACTTGTCAAAAAGCCCCGATGGGGAGCGTACTAATTTGTCACCCATGATATTAAAACGAAATCAAATGACATACTCGTGAAATTAGATAATAATTTCACCCGTCATCGTTTGATTACACATATTCTAACCTAGTGTATACGTAATAAAAGCGACACCAAAAAAGGTGAATATTGAAAACCACATATGAAGTGATTTAGTGGCAACGTTGGTTTTGTTATTAGTGCTATCGTTGATGCTCATGCTTTTCCCAAAACAATCTACCATGCAATTTTCGGAGTCACACTTGAGAAGGCAATTTCCACTAGAGCAGACTTGATGGCATTTCTTGACACTCGAGGAGCATGTCATGCTACAGTTCCCAGTGGTGCAAACCTGTTCGCAGACATTTGCATCACATTTCATAGTTACGTTCGCCTGGACTGCAACCTGTTGACAATACTTCACACCAGTAGGACAGGTCACATTACACTCTCCGCTGACGCAACCCTGAGTACAATTCGAGGATTCGCAAGTCATGGATCTGCACGTGCTGGTAACGCATGCTTGCTGGCAGTTTCCTGCGACTTCACTTGATATGCACCTCATATTACATTGTTCTTTGTTGGAGGTACAACCTTGTTGACACACGGCTCTGTCACATTCCATGGCTGCGTCTGCGGTCACTGCCGTTTGGGTGCAGTTGTAACCTTCGTTAGGGCAAGCCATTTGACAATAGTTGTCGCTGCAAACTTGGGTGCAGGAGTTCGCTTTGCATGTCATTTCTTTCCCGGATAATTGGGAACAGGTTTTTGTTGACTTATGCGGGCATGCCATGGTGCTGCAATTTCCTGTGCTACAAGTCTGTGTACAATCAATGGCATCACACGTAATGTTACCACAGTTGCTTCGTGAACATATTTGAATACAGGTTCTTGATGCAACGCAATTAAGAGCATCGCATTCACCAATGCGTGAATCACAAGACTGCTGGCAAGTGTCATATTGGGCTGTCAGACCACATAACATCGTGCAAGGTGATTGTACACAGGACTGTTGAATGCAAGACTTGGCAGGTTGCACAAAATCACAGTTAGTTTTAGTGCTTGCCGATTCGACCGAGATCCCAACAGCAGAATACAGAGCCACAAATACCAACAATATTGCCATACTTTATAAGCAGGGTGGAAATTATGATCCAAAACCTTTGACCTAAAAGGGGGAAAGACACACTGTTGGTTTGCAATAACGTGACAAGGCAACGATGCTGTTGGATAAAAAATAAAATTTGTTTTGCAGAATTTGCATGAAACAAGAGATTAGTTCCGAGAGGAGAGATTATTTTTTGTTCTTGCCCACCAGAATGGCCGCCGTCACGATTGCAGATATTAAAAAGGTCGCCGGGAGGTTATGGCCCCCTCCAGTAAAGCCTTAATTTCCTTGGTCGGTTTTGGCTTACTAGATAGACTCTGCATGAATCGCTTACGGAGTATGCACTGCATGTTGCCACGATATAGTTCCGCACTCAGGCCTAATAGCTGCGTTTTTGGTTTGGTGGTCTCATTCTTATAATTGGTTTATTAATCGACAGATGCCCGCACTAGGGAAAACATTATTGACTAGCTCAGAAGTTCGGATTGTGGCAACTTCAAAGGCTTGACGCGATTCAATCAGACTCTCTTTTTCTCCTCTTCGATCAAAAAGAAGACAGAAGGACATTCTGATTGCAGAGAATGGTTAGGGTATCCGTAAAACCCAGAACATACTGAGAATAAGAATAATAGACATCTATATAGCGCCATTATCAGTCTTTTTATGGCGCTTTACAATAAAAATTATACAAAAGTATAAAAATATAAATAAGTATAAACAATTAATAGTTTGAAAGTTAAAATGTAGTGAAAAGTGATATCAATAATTAAAAGCCATTTTAAAAAGGTAGGTTTGAAAGGATTCGTGAAAATATCAAGAGAGTTACGCAATCTTAAACCTCACGGGAGAGTATTCACAGTTTTGGAGCAGCTACAGCAAAAACACGATCCCCATATGTTTTCAAGCGAGCTGTTGGGTAGCCAAAAGTCTCTTGATAACCGCAAGGTGACTGTGTGTTATACTGAAGCAAGTCGGAGATGAAATCAGGTGCTGTGTTATTAAGGGATTTAAAACTAGAAGATTAATTTCATACGTTATACGGTACCGAACCGGTAACCAGTAGAGCTCTATCAAAACAGGGGTGATGTGATCGAATTTTATGGAGCCGCTTAATTTTGAACTGATTATAGCTTGAAAAGTAGTTGCTGTGGAAGTCCATAAAATATAGCATATAAAATAGCATTACATTTAGGCGTGACTAAAGCGTGTACTACACATATAGTGCTATTCTCAGTGAGGTGCTTTCTAATTTTGGCGATGTTCCTGAGGTCATGCGCAGACTTGCAGCTTTTACATGATCTTCGGGGTTATAACACTGATAGAAAACGACATGAAGATTACGAGTTGAGGGTGTCTGAGCAAAAATCGTATCGTCATCTCGAAGGTACTCCAAGGGAGATCTTGTACAATATCTTGAACTGATTAGAAGAGACTCAGTCTTATGTCGATTCAATTTTTGCCTGTTGTTATCGATATCGCTGACACAATTTTCAGTCGAGGATTTGCAGGTAGCCATTTCATAAAAAGAGGAAGTAACTGAAAAAGGCAGATAATGTTGAGTGTCATCTGCATAATAATTATGGTCGAGATTGTAAGACTTTACGATGTCAGCGAACGGAGAATGAGTGTAAAGTTTATACAGAAGAGGCCCAAGGACAGATCCCTGTGGGAAGCCGCGTTTCAACAGACGTTGGGATGATCTGGAGTTATTCACACTGATAAACTGTGTGCGCGATGTTAAGTTAGACTTCAGCCAGCCAAGGACAGTTACTTTCACTCCGAAAGGAGTAGAGAGCCTTGATATTATAATGCCATGGTCCACACTATCAAAGGTGGCAGATAGATCAAGATAACAGAAATGTTCTTATCAACCGCAGTAACAATATCTTTTTGAACCCGTAGTAGTGCAGTTTCGGTGCTGTGGAACTTTTTATAATCGGACTGAAACTTCTCTTCAAAATGCTAACCAAAGAAATGATCATTCAGTTGCCAAGCAACAACCTTTTCGATTAATTTAAAACACATGCAGGCCCCACAAAACATTACATCAACAAGACTACGTTAAATTCAGATGGATTTATGTTATATTGTAGATTGATCTATATGTTCTCCATTCTATGTGTTAGACTTACGATAAAAGTAAAGGTGGGGATACCAGAGAGCTTCAAAGTAGGAAGGTAGCCCCCCTAAAAAAACTGGGTCGAGTCCCCTTAAACTACAGTTATGAATGAACAAAAAAACATGATAAACAGATAAGTCATTTTGCAAAATTTATTTGAAAATCCAAATGGTTCTATACTCAAATGAAATTCGCGTTACAATCCCACCGTAATGTGTCCGTATTAAAACTCAACTAAAAAACTGCACAACAAAGCCGGCTGTCTCGAATCTGAGCGCTTTTCCTAAAAAAAATTGCTTGAATTTAACATCAGCTTGACTAAAAAGTCAAGTTCCTCTTCGGCAAATTTGTCGCTTGATCTTTTGATTTCTCTTCAAAACGACAACTGAGTATTTCCTTCAACTTCCACTTGTCGATAGTAAATTTCATCGGTGCATTTTAAAACCGCACAGGGGAGGACATTTGCTGAATTTGCCTTAAATGAACCACGCTAGGTTTCTTGGCGTGCACCAACGGGCAAATGGTGGATTTCAAACACACCAATCAGAGCGCGCCCTTTACTTTCGTTACGTTATAAACTTAATTGTTGTATAAATTAAACTAATTTTTGCTCATTTCTCTTTTGAATTTTGGGTTTACTGTCCATTATCAGAGAGGTAGGCCCCTCCGAGGTTTTGAAAGGTTTATCCGGATCGTTTAGGGTACTTGATGCCCGTCTTTGCTTTGCTAATAGATTAACTTTTCCATCGGAAAAAGGTTATAGAGGCGATCTCTGACTAACATAAATTTTTGTGTCCAAAACCACTGATGTAGTAGTGACGGTTTTCCAGTTAGATTTGACAGAGAACGGATGAGAAGTGAGTCAGCAGAAATGTATTTTTACCCCATTGAGTGATAGAGGACATTAAGATATATAAGGAGACCTTTATGAGAAGCCCGCACAGCTGGGAATGGTTACAAGACCTTAGCCGTGCATAGAGGAATAAATTTTTTTTCGTGTGTAAAAAATTAATGTAATTTAATTTGCGCGCTTCATTTAGCGAGGCACGAACTTTCAAAGAACAGGCTCAGTCAGGGATACTTGATTCCGGGAAAGTACAGCAACAACGGAAGTTTCTTTGTGTCTTGCCTACCGACTTTGTCACAATTAGTTTACGTGCATGCATTGAAGCCATGCTATGCAAATTGATCGCGACACCAGGACTACAAATTTATGCTACTACCGCATTTTGCTGCTTCTCTCCACACGAAAATATATAAACGGATATTTTGGTAAGTACATGTAGTCTCCAATGATGAAGTACAAAGAATTTTCCGCGGTTTCAATACATGAAATACGTATATTCTTAACCTAAGTTATATCAGTCTCCATTCAGTTCGTCACAACTGAAATATCGTATTCAAGAGAGTAGCTGTTAACGGATAAAGTTATATAGACTTGCGTGGTAAAAGGCATCAATCGTTTCATAATAAGGACAACACTTGTTTATCATTAATGGGATTTTAAACATGTAAATCAGCAAATTGAGAGAACAAGGTCATATCAGTAGTCATGGCTTCACATTTATCAAAAAATTACCTAAAAGTTAATAATTGTTATATTAAATAGGGACTAAAGGGACTCCCTATTTTCTGAATGGTTGGGATTGGGAAATCCAGTCCCCAAGTTTGAATTTGGGCAAGAGAACCAAAGACATTTTACGTTACACCGAAATCTAACACATCGATTCCACTTGCGATTTACCAATAAAGCAATCGTGTCTTTAAAGCTGTTTCTCAAAAGCGTTGTACCGAAGAAAGAAAAAAACTTCAACAAAATGGTAAAACCTCGAAAACTGTAGGTAGTTTTGAATTAAAACTCGGCTTTAACTGCGGGAGCTAAATCTTTTGAAGTTAAAACAAGTTATTTGGATTAAAATTGAATTTATTGATTAAGATTAAATATACTGGATGCTATAGCTTTTTGCTTTAAAATTTGCGAGGAGAGGTGCACCCTCTTCCCGGCTTTGGTGCACAATGATCACTGAGTCAACCAGGGTAATATACGAACGGCAGGAAACACGGAATTGTCACTCCGATTCGAAAAGCCATATAAGTCTAGCAAGGCTCACCTTTCTCAACTTTAAATGTGTTGCACTTTTAAGCACGAAAACAGTTGATACACCAGTACTTATTGTTGTACTTCAAGAACCAAGGACCAAGCAAAGTGTTAATCAAACTGAGCTCTCATCAAGTATTTATATCACTGAGTGGCATGCCGGGAATATCCAGTATTATGCTTCGATCACTGGTTACTGACAGCGCAGTGCAATTGTAAGACAAGTGCACAGAAATGAAAAATATGTCATCTCCTTAAACATCGATATCTTTCATGCAATTCCTCATTAACCTTAGAGATAAAATAACAACCTGAAAGAATGAACATAAAGTACGGAAAAGGACCACAATTTGCACCCAATTTTCTATCAGTATCCTTGTTAAGTCTAGCGTAAAAATATTACACTCTCAACAATATTGTAGAGTGATTTTACTTAGCACGTGAAGCGGTTTTTAAGAGTTAGTGGGCATGGCAACCACTTACTAGTAGACAAAAGAAAACAATGAAAACAGAGTGTAATATTGGGCAGTATTCTACTATTTATTTTCACGGGTTCAGTAAAATTACTCTGACGCGTATCAATTATTTGTTTATTTTTTATATCACGTATTTGTCCTCTCACTCCCGTCACAAGGCATTACTCAGCTTTTTCTACGTCGCAACGGATGATTGCATAAATTCATACCAACATCTGTAAAAAAGGTGAATTTGAGGATTCTAAAAGCTGATAATGATAGTCGAAAAAAGAGCGTCCGAACTGATAACCCATTAGCACAAAAAGGAGCGAAACTGTTAGTTCAA